ACTTGGTAACATTGGAATATTTTTTTGTACGTAAATAATGTTAGAATTCAAAAATTATGAATTATTTTAATTCTATATACTTTTCCAGAAACGTGCTCACAAGTCCATGTTTTCTCATCTTGCCAGGCCAGACTCTTCAACATACATTTAGGGTTTTTTTTAACCGAACCGATACTACCGGTTTTGGGAAAATCGGTAACTGAAACAGAACCGAAGCCAATCGGTTAACTGGTTGGGTTAACCGTCGGTTCGGTTTGTCAATTTTTTTATTTTTTTTTATTTTTACAATATATAATATATAAATATATAATAAAAAATTATAAATATATATAATATTATATTTTAAATAATGAATAATGTATCATATATTATAAATATATATTTATATCTATAATGCATATTTATTAATTTATAATATATAATATATATAAAATATATAGAAATATATGTACCGGTCAGTTCGGTAAGCGCCGGTTTTCTATATTGGTTAACCGAAACTGAACCGGTGCCTTCGATTTTTAAAAACACCGAACTAACCGGTTCGTTTAACCGATTTTTTTGTTCAGTTTCTGTCGTTTTTTCGGTAAGTTCTGTGTTTTTTTTTTTTTTTGCTCACCCCTACACACATTGGATTCCAACTCCTATGTCCATATCCATGTAACACTGGCAGTATCATATAGAATCTTTGTTTCTGTAAGGGCATTGGAAATTTCGATCTCTGATGTCCTTTGCTGTTTTCAGCACAATATGCCTTATTGATTTGGGGTTATCACTTCAATCTCTTTGGGGTCGATTTTTTGTCCCCTAAAGACATGCAAGATTTCCTCTAGAGTTAGCACCTTTGTCATTTCAGCACCAAGGCAAGATTAAGTGAAAATATTCCATGCATACAGTCTTCTAAAGATTTAGGAAGATTTCCTCTGATGATAGTTCTCCAGAGCTATGTGTGTTCCTAGGAGGTGATTGAACTGATATCTATCAAAGGTTTACATTGTATCCAAAACTTGGATGTCTAATTCCAGCTAGGGTTTTTTTTTTTTTGAGCATAAAGGTAAAGTATTGTATTACTTGTAACAAAATATTCCATCCTGCATAACAAGGCACTATGCAGCTGCCCATATCTTTCCTATACATTTTGTATAGATCAAAAAGGAGCTATAAATTTTGTTCCTAAAAAACTTGTGTGTTCCTACCCACGAATGCTATTTTCCCCAAAAATCTCAGTATAGTATCTTCTGAGCTGTATTTTTCTTCAAACAACCTTTTATTTCTTTTCCCAGATGATCTCCACACCACTGCTGCCAGCCCTACCCCCCATATCACCTTGTCTTCTTTAGACAATCCTGTTAACTGCCAATCCCTTAATAATGCAGCTAGATCCTTTGGGTAACAGAATTGAGCTTCAAAAAGGCCTAGTAATTTTGCCCATAAGCTTCTAGTTAACCTGCAATGTATTAACAGATGATTCGGGTCTTCTGAAGATTCCGTACACATAACGCATCTGTGGGGTTACACCACCATTCCTTTTCTTGCCAACAGCTGTTAGACATTTCCCCAAAGTTGCAGCCCACACCAGAAAAGCAACTTTGGGAGGGGCTACTGAATTCCAAACTCTTGCCTCTGGGAAGCTTTTCAAATCCTCTATACTCTCAATTAGCCTGTTGTAGAAAGAGCTGAATCAGCTGACTGAAAAAGATTCTGGCATTTCCATCAGTCATACCCTTTATCTCTTTTTGACTGATTAAGTGTGACATTGCTGATCATTTGCATTAATTCTATAAACCACTGCCCTGCCTCCCAGTCATTTAGATTTTTTCTAAATAAGGGACACCACTCTCCTGGGATTTCTCCTTGGAAAAAGCTTCAGCAATCAAACCATCTTTATTTTGTGTAATCTCGTACAGTGTAGGGAACCACTCTTTAAGGGGTCTATCCTCATACCAGGTGTCAAGCCAAAATTTAACCCTCAACCCTTCCCCCACCTCATAGTTGATCCCCTTTCTGAATTCTCTGAGAGATTTCTGAATTCCCCCCCCACACACACACACACAAAGCATACCAGCTAGGATTGGACACTGCTTTATAAATAACAGTGGCATGGTCATAATAGCTTAGTTAAGAAGACTGTTAGGATTGGTGATTTGTTGAGGCTGAGTTCCAATTCATCTTGCATGACCTCACAGAAACCTTTTCCATTGATTTTGAAAAGATCATCACTGAGTTAAACTCTCAAGTTATCACTGGCTAGATGAGAAATTCATTAATGTCAGAGGTGTGAGCACCTTCATATCTAGGCTTATCCCTTCTTACTGCCTATTTGAAAACCAATCCAAGATGATTTAATCGACCCCTCTTTCTTCTCAAATCTCTTTTAGAATCTCTAATGTTCAATTGGGCTTATTTTCTAAATGGGATTTTCTCTCCTACATTTTTTAGCCAATCAATTTCATGTGAAGAGAAAAAGGAGAAGCCCTTTAAGTGATTACCCTCCAAAAAGAACAGCTAATTTTGTAATTTTTCCACCCAAAGTTTCAACAATATTGAGGACATTTTGGGACTTCATTCAATGCATCACACCCCAACACATGCATAAGAAAAATAAATAAATAGATAAAACAACTATTGGGGTATAAAGAGGCCATGAAGATTATTCAAAAAGGGGGTAAAAACTGTAGTGCTGATAAACAAGCTAGGCATCAATGACAGTTCCATTAGTATAAATACAATATGTTCCAACCTAGTCATCAATGACATTTATGCTCCAGCTTGTGTTGAAATCTATTTGAATCTGTGTTGGACTTTTTGTATGGACAGAAAGCATGCAGTACCCTGGCTTCTAGATTATCCTACACCTAGGCAAACAGTTTGGTACCATTTAAGAGAATAAAGAAAGAAGGGATTATAGCTGATAGGGGTAACTTTTGAGCCCTAATATCAATAAAAATAATCCTTTTAATATAATTTCTAAAATAGGTTAACTTTTTTTAAAAATATATCAAACAAGGGCAAAACACTGTTCATCTTCTTCCTCCTCCAAACACTGTTCATCTTCTTATAACACCGCTGGAGAGACTGCTAATAGCTTACGACCAGATGGCCAAGAAGATCCGAGATCACAAGGAAAAGCTCAGCTTCTCTTCTCTGAAATGAGAAATTTGGTGCCCTCCTATTCCCCCTAAAATCAGTGCTTTTTGTTGGGAAGCTTTCCATAGTTGTATTAATACCTTTGATGTACTTCAAAGGAAAAGACCAAATTGGTGCTTGTCCCCTAACTGGTGTGTCCTGTGTAAATTGAGTGGTGAGACTGCTTTCCACCTTATATCTTGCTTACTTCCATTTTTGGGTGCAGGTGGTCCTCTCCTGACAGGGTGGAAGGTTTATTCAACCCTAATGGTATCAGTGGTAAGACAAGGAGGGGAAGGATTCTTTGGAGGTGTACTAGAGCAGCAATACTTTGGACTATTTGGGAGGAAAGAAATGATAGAATATTTGAAAGTAAAGAAAAATGCAAGGAAGCTTTAGTTGAAACAATAACATTGAGGGTGGCACATTGGGTAAAAAGCTTGAAGCTGTTTTCAGCTTTCTAGGTTACTTTTTCAGGGTTTGGGGACTTATTGCTGCTTCATCAGATGGTTGGGAGAAGCTGAACTTTGATGGGAGTTGTGTGGGTAACCCAGGCCCTTCAGGTATTGAGGGAGCTATCAGAGATAAAAATGGATTCATTATTACTCTGTACTCCGGTCCTGTGGAGGAGGGTGATGTGGCAAGGGCAGAGTTTCTAGTTGCAGCATATGGGGTTGAGAAGGCTAAAGAGTTGGGGATTAATAGACTGATCATCAAGGGAGACTCAAAAACTGTGATAAAATGGTTGCAGAAAGGGGAGGGGGTGATAATGGCAGTTGAAGAATGATTTCAGAAGATTTAAATGGATGTCAAGGAACATGTCAATTCAGGTGGGATGGGTTAGGAGATCAGCCAACAGTTTGGCAGATAGCTTAGCAACGCAAGGGGTTCAAAGAACATATATGTTTAGGGCACATTTGTAATTCTGTCCTGGGTCAGCTTACTAAGTTGATTTCTTTTGCAACTTCTTGTGTATCCTAAAGCATTTTAATTAATGAAATTCTTTCAAAGTTATTGATCAAAAAAAAAACTTCTCTTCTCTGAAATGAAGCCTGTATCGATTCCATCACCACAACCACCACCAGCAAAGAGACGATGCTGCTTCGTCCCCAACTCAGCCCAAAAGGGTTTTTCGGCCACAGGAGGACAATCGGATACTGCCACGGCCACATCCTTTCCTTTCAAAGAGGAAATATTCTACAATCAACACACCAGGAACTGAAAAAGCAGATCTCTAGCTTGGAATCGTTCCTGGAGCTTGAGCTTGAAGCAGCGGAGCCGGTGGGGAGTGGAACTGGAAGTCACACACGGACGCCCTTCTGTGGGTCGCGTATCTCAGCAGCCCATTTCCCCCACGGCCTCTGTCAGATACCCCTGTAAACTGCCGATTACAGGAGGAAAGGAGGAAGAAGACTGGAGATGGGGAGGTTTGTTCGGTGGAAGGAGGAAGGAGAATAGTGTTTCTACCCTTGTTTGATATTTAAAAAAAAAAAAAAGTTATCCTATTTTAGAAATTATGTTAAAAATTTATTTTTATTGATAATAAAACCCAAAAGTTTTAGTAGCATGGCTAAACAATACCCTTTTTTGATATTTTTTAAAAAAGTTATCCAAATACCCCAATTTTCATATCCATTGTTGTCAATAGTTTTAGTAGCATGGCTAAACAGAGGTGTTCGAGCCTAGTAAACAATACATGGCATCTAAGACCACCCTAGTTGTCCAATAGCTGAATTGGGATCCAGGTGATAATGATGAGAGAATGGGAAACTAGTAACTAACTTTGAAGTACTACAACGGTCTAAAAACATATTAGTCTAATAGAACTCTGTTTTGCTTCACCATTATACAAATTAATTTACATGAAGAGAGCATACCTTTCTTCAATTTCCAGAATCTTTGCTTTCCACATCTCTTGGTTTTTTAAAAGATTCTCACTGATCTAGAAATAGAACAAGAAAGTATGACTTTTTCTCACATAACAAATAACGGTAATTAATTCACTAGGAAAAATGAAAGATTAATAAATAGCATACTACTAATATCTTGTCACATGAGAATATATCAGACTTAAATATGCCACTGTAAGGGAACAGAGAGGCACTTACATCATCAAGAAACTTCTTCTCTTTAAGACATTTATCCAATTTGGCTTGCATCTTTTGTAATCTGAAATTTTCTGCCTTTTTGATAGCTTCAGAAATTTCTTTTTCTGTCTCCTCCTTCACCTCAAGCAGTAGTGACTCAAAATACTACTAGGGGAAAAACAAGGTAAAAAGATTAATCAAATATCCAGACCAACAAAGATAGATTACCTATTGTGCCATTATTTGCAAAATCCATCAAATGAAACAACAGTTTATACTAGAAGCCTTGAACTTGATCTTAATATTATGATTTCACATTGTAGGATAATGCAAATCACATTTCTATATTCAACTTAACATTATGCTTCAAGATCAAATGGTGACAAATGGTCCTGACAGCACTTTGCTCAGAAAATGAGATAATATACTTACTATTCTTTGGTTCTCAAGCTGTGTCATAAGGAGATCATTGTACTCATTAACAATCTGTTGAGAAAATTAGATGGAAAAAGAATAGAAAATGTTAAAAGTCTTACATAATAAAATTGGGAAAATGCAAATCACAAAGAAGCATTCAGTAAAAGAAAAGAGGAAAACAATTACAGCTTCAACTTTACTGTTGTAGAGAGCCTCACTGATTTCAGAATCTTCGCGGTATCCACAACCTCCACAGCTGTCATCAGCATGACAACAAGGAATATTTAACTCCACCAATTTTCCATCAGTTTTCGATTGAATCAGACGGTGAACGTAATTGTCTCCAACATAATCCCAAACACGTTGGGTTTCCAATTCAAGGGAATAGCAGTGTTGTGTATCTTTCCAATGTCGAATAGCATGACCTTCTTTATACCTGAAGCAAAATGCTCCAAATAAGAAAAAGTAACAGAAAAATATTTTATAAGCAAACAAAAGTTGGCCACAAGGATTATTAATCATTAAGTTGTATTATTTTGGAAAATAAAGTTGATTACCTTCCACACCCAACAAAGCCACAAATAACACAAATCCAGAGGTTATCAGAAGTTCCACAAATGGAACATGTTGACTTCTCAGGCTGTTGCTGGCAATATCGGCAGACCTGAAGTGTAACAAATTATGTGAACTGCTAAATAATTTTCTCGGAGTATTCTCATTTTTCAAAAAAAAAAAAAAATCAAGCAACTAACACTCCGAAGCTTATGAACCAAGTCAAAATGAGCAGTAAAAATATATGAAATAATAAGTATTTAAAATTTGAATGAATTTAACCTTCTGCAAATCAAGAAGCCTATAAATGATCTATACAGGTGAATTTAGGACTGTCAAAAGATCAAATCATGATTCAAATTAATGTTTTAAAATGTGGAGGCATGAAGCAAGGAATTTCACCATTCTAAGGTGTTAGGTTAAAACCTGATTGCAAGAGGTGTAAGCCTCCCGAGCTTGGATTTTTTAATCAATAAATAATTAAAAATAAGATAAAATAAATAAAAATATAGTAAATGTTTCATAATATACAAAAACTATAGGAATTAGAAAATTTCCTTTTTCATTTTGTAATAATAAAATCGTCACATTTAAATATAGAATTGAAGTATCATAGCATGAGTATCATCATCCATAATTATATAAGTATCATCAAACATCATTATATTACTTGCAAAGTCATACATCAAAACTTCAGAATTAACAACTAACATAAATTGCACAACATTATCATGAACAATTGTGTCATCTCATATTCAGATAATTGCAATGCATTAAAAGAAGTCAAAGCCCCCACTTATATTTAAAACATTTTATTATAATAAACAAATCTGGTGAGTTTTCATCCTCTGTATTATGTTAATATATAATGAGAAACACAAGAAAATAACGCCCCCACTTTTATTTATAATATTTCTATTATAAGAAACTAGCTTAAAAGGTAAGAACATATGCTACTGGAGGTGTACACCTCCAGCCATTTTTTAGCACCTTTTAAAACACAGTTTCAAAGTGATCAAATTGAGCTAGATATTAATCTAAATACCCCATAAAAACAATATGTTCTACATGATCATGGGAAAAACCTTCAAAATCCTTTAGAATTAAGACCCAATTACTAACATCCTCTTACCCTTTTCCAATAGGAGGTAATCTTTATACATAAAAACATCGGTTCAGTCATTCCAAATGTGCCAACATAAAGGAAAAGAAAGAAGGTTCCACAGGATGGAACATTGAACACAAAATCCACTTGCTGCCTGAGGAAATCAACATTGGAATGTCCCTTTGGAGTACCTAATCTCTCTTGAATAGACACAAGAAATGTAACCAAACTTCATAGATAATTTTGCAATGTAGTAGCAGGTCCTTGATGATTTTATGGAATCTTAAACCACATCATACAGGTAAAAATTAGACCAAATTCAGATATAGCTTATAGGTATAATATGACTGACCCAAATCCACTTTATTTACAATTATTGGAGAATCACTGCCTTTAAGCTTAACTTTTATATTTTTCAATTCTCCTCTCCATCTTCATTTTTTCCTTAGGCAACTATTTCTGTTTCTTTCTCATGATGTTCCCTGTATACAGAAAGGACATGGCATGGATATGGAGTGGAAATGGAAATTACATTGGATTTAAATTCCAGAGAAAAATGTAGCAGAATATTCTCTTTTAGACAAAATCATCTGTGTAGGCACTAGAGTCACTTTGTATAGTCATTTTGGAATGTTAAGACTTTAAAAGATATAGGTGATCTTTACTTTTTGAAAGGACAGGACTCAAGCTACAGATTACTCATGCCAAACTTCATGGTAAAACAAGATGTCTCATACCAAGAAAAAGGAAGAGTTTAACTTTCTAATTCATCATCCTTCTAAACAACTTGCAGTGAAGGAAAAAGGAATAAAAAATAAATACTTACCAACGATACATTCAATTGAGAAAAAAATACACTAAAGTACATAAGTTGAAGAAAATGGAAATAGAATCAGTTAAAACTTTGACAAGTAGAAAAACTACTGCCTTAATAGCTCACCGGACAAGAAGAGTCTGTCCATTTTGAAATACAAGAACAATGGAAAGAATGATTGCAGATGGTTGTGAGAATTCCACTCATGTCTTGATCTAATCTCTCTGCAAATTTTGAGAAAATTAATAAGGAAATTATTTTTTTGGCCAATAATAGAAACAATTGATTAAGCATGATTTAATCAGTTAGCTCTTATTTCAAAAAATGATTCATTAAAATGTACAATGAGATACAATCAATCATTTAGAGATAAAACCTCTTATCTCCACCCTATTTCCAATTAATTTACAGCTGTGTACAAAACATTTCATATCTCATCCACCCCTTGTTTTGCTAGATTATCAGCCATGCTATTGGCTGCCCTTTGTACCCATTGAACTCTCACTTCCATTCCTCTAGTTATCAAGCCTAACACGGAAAGATCACATCAAAAATATAATGACAAGGAAATGTCTTACTGTTATCCTTCATAAACATTTTCCCTTTTCTTTTTGGATAAGTCTAGACATGCAGTCTCAAGTGGCTCACTATATATTTTAATTTTTTATTTTATTCTTTTGAAAAGTGTTCAGTAGAATTATAGAGGTTTGCATAGCAGGGAAATTTAGTTCAAAGAAGGGAAACTAAAGGTAAAGAATTTAAATATAAGGGCAACAATGAACAATTTCAAAGTTCAAACATCAGTAGCAAAAATGAATTTTATTCGAGTCCTCCTTTCTTTGGTACAGCACCTGTAGCAAAAATGAATTCTATTCAAGTCCTCCTTTCTTTAGCAGCAAATCTAGATTGGGAACTTCATCAGCTAGACATTAAAAATGCTTTTTTGAATGGTGACTTAGAAGAAGAAGGGTATATGATCCAACCTCCAGGTTTTCATGCTAAGAGAGATGAGGAGAAAGTATTTAGACTGAAGAAATCTTTGTATGGGCATATGAGAGTTGAGGTTTACACCGATGCAGATTGAACTGGTTCTGTGGATGACAGAAAATCTACTAGTGGCTATTGTGCTTTTGTTGGGGGAAACTTGGTTACTTGGAGGAGTAAGAAACAAAGTGTGGTGGCCAGATCGAGTGCAGAAGCTGAATATAGAGCCATGTCTCATGGTGTGGCCTTACTTCTATGGATAAAGAATCTCTTGGGTGAATTGGGCTTTCCTCTCAGTGATCCTATGTCATTATACTATGACAATAAGGTTGCTATTAACATTGCAACCAACCCTGTTCTCCATGATAGAACTAAACATATAGAGGTTGACAAAAACTTCATTAGGGAAAAATGAGAAGTTTGCACTCCCCTACATCAGCTCTAAGGAACAACTGGCAGACATCCTTACTAAAGGATTAAATTCCATGTGGCACTATAATCTTTGTGACAAGTTGGGGATGATTGATATCTATGCCCCAACTTGAGGAGGAGTGATGTAATCTTAGTTATGTGTCGTAGGGGCACTTTTGTCATTTTTACTTTTTTAATTTTTATGTAGTCACCCTAACATATAAATACAAATCATGGGCACCACCAGCTTATGTTTTTGGTCTAAATCTTCTCGCCTCTTCCTTCTCTCCTCTCTTCTTCTTCTTCTATCTTCTTCCTTCTTCTCTTCTCCTCCTCTCATCTCTTGATCAAGATCTTTCTTCTTGCCGTAATCAATGTTATTTCACTTCAAGAGAAACTGTTTTTTTCCACCATCCAATTAAAAGAGCCATTACCCAATGTTGGTCCCAGCTATCTAGGGTCTTGGGGTAGGTGCATAAAGTGGCCACTCTCAGATGAACCCATGTCCTTGTGCTTATCAGCCCAAGATTTTACCATTACACCAAGTAATTGTCCTCTTTTCACCATCCAGTTAAATTAAAAGAAGAAGAATCTTCTAATCTTTTGTGCATCCAATATTTTAAAAGCGCAAGGCACAAAAAAAGGCACAAGGCGCATGCCTTTTTTAAGCAAGGCGCAAATTACAAAAAAAAATGCTAAAAAAGCAAACAATGTCAGAAAATTCAATAAAACATGCCAAAAAAATCAAAAATATTAAACATAATATTAATAAGAAATATAAACTTAAATTTTAGAATTAATGTTTTAAAAAACCTATTATCTAAAATTAAAATACATAAACATAACATGTAAAGTATATTCAAATGAAAATTAAAAAATAAAATCAAACATATAAAACATTTCCAAGCATGTAAAGCCCACAATCTCTTTTTTCCTCAATTGCATTACTTCAGGTAGCTAATGTAATGTAAAACATATTACATTCCAGATTCTACGAGTCACCTTTGTGTCATGCCCCTCGAGGAAAGCCCAAACAAGTCCATGTTAGGGTCTTAAATTCTTAATTCTCACACAAAAAATAATGATTCTATAATTTTAATTGCCTTTTAAGAAGATATTTTATTAAGATGAATCATTACTTTTTGTGTGAGAATAAGAATTTAAGACCCTAACATGGACTTATTTGGGCTTACCTCAAGGGGCATGGTCGGGAGGTCTGGGCCGCCCCCAGCCCAGCCACTAGGTTCAAAAGAAGCAAAAAAGCGTAAATTTTCAAAAGACACACACCTGGGCCAAGGCGCAAGGTGCATCAAGCACACGCCTAGGCGCACCATGCGTGCACCTTTTGAAAGTGTTGCGCCTAGGACCTGGACAAGGCGCTTACCCTAAAATGCACCTCGCCTGTGTGCCTAGGCACGCCTTTTAAATCACTGTGTGCATCCTAAATTTTGGCATAGGAATTTTCTAAGTAGGAGTAGGACCCATCCTATGGTAGTTCCTACTGGCTACTGCTGAAAACCAGGGATAAGTGGTTAATTATGCAGGCCCCAATAGTTAGGACCATACCCATCCTACCCCTCCCAAGACCCCAAATAGATGGAACCAGCATTGGATAATGGTCGCCTATTAAATTACTATGTCTTAGAAATTTCTATTAAAAAGGCAAGAGGAAAATTTTGGCAAACATCAGTAAGGAACTTAAAGACCCTCGTACAAGAAAGTACGACTAAATATATATATGCGTGTATGTTAAATGATTCCAACTTCTGTCTTTTTTTTTTTTTTKTTCAGCAACACAAAAATGGTTTCATTAATAATAGAAAGCAAAATTACAACAAGAGGTTGTGGAAAAAAGAAAAACATAGCTTTAGAAAAGCTGACCCAACCCAAGAATTACAATTGAGCCCGATACAAGTGAGTTTTTTGTAACCTTTGCTTAGGTAAACCATCTACCAGATTGTTGGTAGTTCTCCTAACCCATTTAACTTGGATTCTCACGTCTTTTGATAGCCATTTAAATCGCCTGAAATTATTCCTTAGATGTCATGTCACCCCCTCCCTCTTCTTCGGCCAGTTCACAACAGTTCTCGAATCACCCTCAATGAGGCAACAATTACACTCCAGGCCCTGAAAAAATCTCAACCTTAAAATCTGACAAAAGTTTCAGACTTTTTTCCCAATGTGCCACTCTTAGAGTTATGACTTCTACCAAGGCTTCCTTCTTTCTTTTTCTTCAAAAATTCTTGAGTTCCTTTTGTCCCAAACTGTCCAAAGCACTGCTGCTCCAGTACATCTCCCCAAAATCCTACCCCTCCTTTTGGTACAACTAAAAACAGTACAGTAAACAATCCTACAATCCTTTCAAGCTGTCAAGAGAAGATCATCTGCATCCAAAGAGAGAAGAAAACCAAGTCCAAATAAAGCTAACAAAAGGACGAGGGATTAGGAGATGAAAGGCAATCTCACCATTTAACTTACATAGGAAGCACCAGCTCGGGGGACAAACACCAGCTTGGTCTTTTTCTTTGAAGCAAATCAAAGGTATCAATACAACCATGAAACACTTCCCAACAAAAAGCACTAATTTTTGGGGGGATGGAAAAGCACCAAACTTCCTTGACCGGGAAAGGAGAAGGGGAAGTGGCTACTAGGGAATTAAAGAAAGACTTACATGAGAATAAACCATCAGGATTAAGGCCCCAAACCCTAGAATCCAAACCACCTTCTCCCAGGACCATTGAACAACTTCTATCATGCTTATTTTTTCTTTCTTCCTTTCTTTCTTTTTTTATTAACTATTTTATTAAAACATTTTAGATATACAACATATTATATCTTGATGATTATGCCCCACCTATCTAGGCCCAAGCTCAACCAACTCACATGTGCCTTGAAAGGCCATTACCCAAGGTGGGTCCTAGTTATCTAGGGTCTTGATAGGGATGGACTGGATACAGACGTAACCTTCAACTTCTTTTCTTTCTTTTCCACAAAGTGGTTTCTCTCAGCCTTGAACCCACATTTTCACAATTTCCAGCCCAAGGCTTTACACTACACAATGGACTCTCACTTGTGCCTTAGCATAAATAGCATCTACCATAGTTGCCAAGGCGACGCCTAAGCGACAAGGCGCCCTTGGAGGCTCGCCTCGCCTAATCGTCAAGCAGTTCTCTATAGAGTGTTATAAAAAACTTTTATGTTCTTAATTTTTTAGGTTATAATTATAATATAGACATTTTTAAACTAAAATATTCATTTTGTGTGTTTATATACTAATTTCTTGTTATTGTTTTCTTATTTGTTAGGGTTTAGTTAACACAAACATTGCTAAATGCTGTATTGAACCCTCAAAGACTTCAAAACCTGAACCAATAAGTAAGGAAGAACATAAAATGTGTCCAATCAACACATTCTTTTCTTTTTATTTACTAATTTTGTGTGTTTATATACTAATTTCTTCTTCTTCTTCCACCTTTTCTTTTCGTCTTTTCCCATAACAGAAATAGGGGTTAAGCCCCTATATTTTTTGAATTTTCTTTTCTTTCTTCTTTTTCTTCTCATGAATATGTTGGAATATGTTGATTTTCTATACTTTAACATGAAGTTTATACTTTTCTTGTGAAAATTATGGATATTTATTAAGGAAATATAATTATGGAACCTAGGGAACTACCCTAGGGTACATGTTTTTACTTAAAAAAAAATCCATCGCCTAGGCGACAAGGCGCCCCCCCCTATCACCTAGCCTTGCCTTGGCACCTTGAAAGCTATGGAATCTACAAATCTCAGAATGAAAGATTTGTGATTCATTTTGACTCCTAGACCTTTGGGCCCTTGGTGGATTAAGGAAACCGGTTCAACTCAATCACTTGTTCACACTTCATGGATATAAATCATTTGAACAAATTTGGTCAAAATACTAAATATTGAGAATCAAGATATTATTCTAATACGGAAAACAACTTCATAGACGTAATGCAATAGCATTAGCAATCATGCTTTGGTTCGACCTTTAAAGATAGGCTCATGAATAGTAGTATAATACCATGCAAGTAATGTCAAATATATGAGTACTTATACCTTATATTCCTATATTGATTTACAATGTTTTTGAGGAGACCTGTCCCATATATTTTATTGGAACTATGGTTTCTTACTCTTTGGAACTTTCAAAGTAAATTTACTACTAATTGCATGCCAAGAAGTTTGCAAGCTAGTGTAAAGCATAGACCCATAGATGGTAATCTCTGATCTCTTGTTCAAGTGGAATCAAAATAAACTTATCACCACAAGTGGAATCAGCCAAAAAAATTTGACTGTCCTCATCCGCAATAACCCTTTATTAATTATTTTGAGCCAGTCAGTCAGGATAATGTCATTGGCAGACTGTTGCCTATTTTTTTCACAAAATACAAATGTTTTTCCTTTGTTTTACTCAAAGCAAGAATTTTCTTTTCTCAGGTGTTAAAATGTCACTTTGTTGATGTTGCCAAAAAAATCCTCAAATTTTCATAGCACTCCAAATTATCTCCTTTTTTTCACCCAACAATGAAACTTAGTAGGATTAAGCATGGTTGTGACAAGTCCCCACCTAAAAAGAGGGATGTGGGAGAAACATCCTTGAAAGGCCACAACTCAATGAAATTACAACAAGACTAACCCAGAATTAGTATTTTCCTAATACAAGTCACTGCAATTAATCCATGGCTCAGTGATACATTGCAAACCTTGATATCCATCCGAATGAGATTCCAATCTGGATGCCAAGGCTCTCAACTCTCTAATAAAATATCTCAAACTACATGGACATTCCAGAGTGTTCATATCCAGCAATAAAATGAGACTGCAATAATACTAAATTTATATCCATTTTCAACAAGCTCTGCACGAGAAACCTTACCTAGGCAGACTGGACAATATGGCTGCTCTGTTGAACTTGCAGAGGAGTTCTGTGCATGTTCAATCAACCCAGTGTACTGTACATCCACTGTAAAAAGGACACGACAAACATCCGTCTGCATCCAATCCCCAAAAGAATAAATAAAACGTGCTTCCTTGTTATACAATGAAAGGAATTTCTGTGTGATCAAAATCTAAAAGCACACAATAAAAAATAAAAAACAAACCTCCAAAGACGAAAAACGCCTCCCACTGAAATGCTTGTAGAAATTGTCGGTGGAACTCTGATCATCGAACCTTATCAGAATACTGTAGCGATCATCCATTCCATCATTCCTGAAATTCCACTCAACACGCCAATAATCAGTTAGGAAAAGAATTTTAAAAAAAAATACGGAATGAGCATAAGTCCTGTAGAGGGTTAAGTATTTTCATGGAATAAGACCTGACAATTCGCATCTCCAATATATGCTGAATGAACGATCCGCAGAACTGACAGAAGTCCGCATACGTCATGTGATTTGGCACCGCTAGCACGCAAACTAGTGGTTTCCTCTCAACCTAATCAAAGCTCAAGAAAACCAAACGAGGCAATAAGTTCAATCCTGTCAAAACGTGTATGGAATTTTTCATCTTTCAAACAGATGAAGGCAATCCTAATTTCTTTGTTTCTTCCTAATTCCAAAGAGGATGGAATTTCAAGACGAAATGGAGCCAAAACAAGAAAGAGAGATGAAGTCGACGCTTACAGGAAGTTCAGAAGTGGATTCAGAAATATCATCACGATAAAGAATCATAATTCCCCTGGTTTCTTCGATTCTAGGGTTTCCAGACGAAAAAGCTAACGACTGAGTGACACCGGAGCCAGAAGGCTCACTCATGTCTCCGGGATCGATTGTTGTTGATGGACGGAATACATCTTCAGGAGTGGAGCCGACGGCGGCACTGCCGCTGGTAGAGGTGGCTGACATGGTCGAGGAACAGACAGGAGTTCAAATCAGCCCCACTAGACTGCCCCTCACAACGTCCCACAGCACATCTCCGCCGTGTATTGAAAACATCTCCCGAGGATCCGACTTCGTTGAAGTATTTATGTGTTCCGCATCAGCTACTTCGCCAATAGCACTCTTCTACGCGGCCCACTGCACATCCCACTGAAGATGCTCCTAATGCACGCTTAGATGTACAGAGTGGGACGCCAGTGGGGAGCCAATCCGAACTCACTGAATGAGCCTTTTCTGTTTGATAGAAGACAAAAGTCACAAAACCCGATTAAGCCGACGGCTTACCCAGAAAACAAACCAACCGGTTCATTTCAACAAAATTAGGGTGAGAGACTAGGGTTAAGTGGTAAACCCGCACTGATCCGACCATATTGGATTAGAGTCAGAGTTCACGTGGCAGATGTGTGCCAATAATCCCAAACCCAACTATCATCCGCAATTCTTTGCTTTGGTCATCAAACCAAAGGAAATGGATACTTAAACTTCAAGCAAGGAGGAGCCACAAGTAAGTAATCTCACCAATCAACACAAGACTTTTTTCGATAAGTGAAAGATAATATTAAGTTACTAGCAGGGATCATGCCATGCACGGAAAATTTTAAAAGATTTAATGATTTTATTTTTTATTTAATGTTGATTTATAAAATATAGTCATTGCTAATTGAATATGAATAAATATTTTTTATTTAATCTTATTAATAATTTKTAGTAATTTTAATCTTTTTTATTATTTTTAAATAAAATTTTGATTAACTTTAAATAAATAAAAATAATTATAAAATTAATATTTTTATTAATTCTAGTAATAATTAACAATTATATAGGAATGACAACGGGGTGGATTACCCCATCCCTTTCCCTACCCCGCCCCGTCCCTAGTGTCACGCAGGTTCAGGGCAAGGTAACCACTCCTCAATGTCGGGCAAGTTCATGGGCAAGACACCCCACTCTTCATCAAGGATGGAGAATCCTCGAATTTCCCAGCGTCATCCCTAGTATTGGGCGGGTTCAAGTAGAGGTGTAAATTGGGTCATGCTGGGTCAGCACAACACGACCTATATGTGGACCGCAAAAAGTGTGAGTTATGTCTAGGGGTGTCAACGGTATTCGAAAATCCAATTTCGAATTCAGTATTTGACATAATCGAGCCGAATTCGGATAATTCGAATATCTAATCAGTCGAATTCGGATATTCCATTCTTACTAAATAGTTAATCGGATTCGAATTCGGATATGACCTAATTCGGATATGACCTAATTCGATTCGCTAAATATCTGAATTCGATCGATTACTTAATTCTTATATATAATATATAAAACGTTTTATATAATTTATATATAATAATTAAGTTATATAAATAATTTATAATTTATATACTTTATATCAATAAAATATTTATTTTATATATTTATTAATTATCTAAAATAATTAATTAATCGAATTTGAATTGAATCAAATATTTGAATATTTAATCGGATTCGAACTCAGATATTAATTTTCAATATCCGTTGGATACCGAATCGAATTCGGATATTGGATTTTCTAATCAAATTTGAATTTGAATATTGCTTGATCCGATTCGAATTTGATCCATTTACACCCCTAGTCATGTCGTACTGGCCCACGAGGCATCTCGAAACGTGCCTCCCTCCTCTAGAATAATTTGGGGTATCAATTCGGTTTACTTACAGAATTATACTAATTTATCTTATAATTTCTAATATAAACTAGCCAATAATTTCATTTTTCCAATATTATACTGATTTATCTTAATAATTCGTGTAATTATTTGTTCAAATTATAGTTTCCAATTTCCATAGTCATTTATCTTTAATAATTTGCAATGAAAATTACATAATTTTTCAATGGTTTTCCAAAATCTATCAAATGTAATACATTTTCCTAAAATTTCCAAAATATTCTAATAATTTTCAATAATTATTTAATACATTTTAAATAAACTTTCAAATACTCTATATCTTTTAATTTCAAAAATGATATTTTACGAAAATGTAGTTTTATGAAAATTTTTGAAAAAATTTATTACATTTGTGTAACTATGGGGATTTATTGATTTTTTTTTTAATTGCTATTAAATCTATATATTTTTATTTGGTAGTTTACTAACAAAATTACACTAATTTATATTTTATTTTTCATTATAAATTAATTAATAATTTTATTTTCTAACATTATAATATTTTGTCCCCCCATTTGTATTTGGTTATTAATTATAAATTAGTTAAAGAGTTTTTAATTTCTATAAAATGTTGTTAATGAGTTAATTAGTAACAATATTTATTAATTGTATTTATTAACTTTGGGTAATAACACTATTTAATACTCGTTGAATATGGGTGGGATTAAATATTAACCGTATTTAACTATTTAATTAATATGAATATTTTAAATGAGGGAGAGTGGATATAGATTGGGGGGATGCATTTTAGGAATTGATTAGGAAGTGGGGTAACATGATATTTTCCTATTGGTTTAAATGAGATACATTAGGAGAGAGATTATATGAATATTTTTAGGTGGTTGGGTGACATGGCTTAATGGGAGTAGTGGGAAGAGGAGAGGAGAGAAAGTCAAAGAGAATGCAGGGTGGGGATAATGGAGCAATGAGAGGCATGGTGACGAGGACCGGATGCACGAGCTTTGTTAAGCGAAAGTTAAACAATAGAAATACATAAGAGTATATAATTGTTTTATATTTTTACTTTTTAATAAACAATGTAATCAAACTCAACCTCAGTTGTTTAAATTTCTAGTATTTCATATCGGCTTTGGTTTAATAAATATATATGATTTTATATTTTAAATTTAATTTTTTAATACGGGAAAGTAGGAAAATTCCCATATTTCTTAGTCTAAAATATTTTAGATCATAGATTTAATTTTTGTAATTTATTTTTTAATAATATCATTATAATTTATGAAATTTAAAGTTAATTTTTAAGTTTAAATCATTTGAACAAACAAATTAAACCGAAAATAAACCCAAATCGATACAACCCGAGTTGGTGGGATTTCCCTAATGGTCAATCAGTTTTGAGTGGCAAACTGCGGACTTGACCAGATCGATTTGGTTGGCAAAATAGCCCGCAACTAAACTGAACCAATCATTGAACACTCCTAATTTCAACTAAAAATTATAGTCTAATCTCTAATAAATAACAATAGTTTAATCTCCAATAATTATTGAAAATTTATAACAAACGTACACAATCATTGAAAATAAGTTTATAATGAAAATATAATAGATATATAATAAAAATATAATAATTACAAAAATATAATAAATACTGAAAATATACTAAGTTAGTCAATAAATAGTGTAATATCAAATAATAGTTTAATCTCTAATAAGTATTAATCTATAAATTATAAAAAATATATAATTACTAAAAATAAATTTATAACAAAATACAATAAATTATATTTTAAAAGTTAAATAATAGTTGTTTAATCTCTTATAATTATTGATAATTTTATATTAAATAAAAATTAAAAATAGATTTATAAATAATTATTGGAAGCATATTTATAAAAACATAAATAATTATTGAAAATAAAATAAATATTAATTATAGTATATATAAATATATAATGAATATACACTACTATTGTAAGATTATTACTAATAAATATAATTTTGTTGATAGTTATTTTCTATAATTATTAATTGATATAAGTGAAATTAGTTATTTATAATATTATTTACTTATTGAAATAATATTGTTATTTTAATTCTTGAAATGTAATTATTTGTTGAACTTAATAATCCATAAAATTATAAGTGTACTACTATTACATAATTCATTATTAACTTTGTAAAATATTAAATTATTATTAATATGAATATTATGAATTCTATTATAATTACTTTTCTGCTTTTAATATTTTTTTAAATTTATTACATAATTTCGTTATTTTAACTATTTAAAATTTTGTCATGTTAAATATTTTTATTTAAATATTTAAATAATATGTAAAATTTTTAAAATTCTTCATTATTTGAATTTTATTTATTTTAATGTTATTACGTAATATTCAATATTTTGTTATATTATTTAGCTATTTTTAGTGTTTTTTTATTTAATACTTTTAGTTATTGAAATATTTGAATAATGTTTTATTTTTTAATGTTAAATTTGTATGATTTGAATAACATTTAAATTGAATAAATCATAAAATTATAATTTATATTGTTACTACATAATCTCATGTTGAACTTTGTAAAATATTGAATTATTAATAATATGAATATTATTAAATCTATTAATTTTTTGTGTTTTAAATAAATATTTTAAATTTAGTATATAATTTCGTTATAACATTTAAATAGTTCTGAGTTTTTTTAATTGAAACGTTCTTTAAATAGATATAGATAAAAAGTGGGGGAGATAATAAATAGGAATTAGAGATAATTTAAGAGATAAATAGGAGTTAGAGATAATTTTGGAGATAAATAGGAATTAGAGACAATTTAGGAGGAAGTGGGTGAAAGTGGTACCACTTGGCAAAACATTAGAAAGCAATGGTTGTTAGAAATAGTTAAGCCTATGTGATTTCCTTATTGACTTAAAGGGTAATTATGTTGAATTAAAAAAATAAAAAATTCAAAAAAAAATAGAAAATTAGGAAGGGGATTTGAAGCAAGGAGAGGTATGGTGACGTGCACAAACAAATTTTAATATATACATATATATGTATATATATATATAAAGATCCAGATACTTGAGGTTGAGTCAAGAAGGAGAGAACCATTTAAAAAATTATTGGCCACAAGATTTAACCATCTAAGCTAAAGTTGCATTTGGCATTCTTTATCTCATTTTTGTTGTTAAAAACTCAGTGTTAATAGGGCCATTTCTGTTATCTCATCATTTATCTCTCATTTATAAAAATGAGAATGAATCCATTTCTTTGGAAAAAAATGAGAATGAATCAATTTCTTTGCTCAAACACCCTGGTTTTTGTTACCAACTTTACCTTTTTTAATATATCTCTTAATTAACAACCAAACATTCAGCCTTCTATTTTGCCCCTCCATATAACAGAGACAGGTGTCCTAAAAACACAAATATGTG